ACTGCACAAAATAGCTCAGTCATTAGCTTTGTCACCGGTTCAGGCTCCTGCATTGTCACCCGCCCAGTTACTTGTTCAGTTCTTGACTCAGACATCAACTCTGTCTCCAGGTCACTCATTAGTTCAGTCACCAGTGCAGTCATGTACTCAGCCATCTGTGTACATGACGTCCCATCTGCTTTTCAGGCTGCAGCTCGAGCTGGTTGTCTGTCTCCCGCAGCCAGCCAGCTCTGGTTGCAGGCTGAAAAGCTACCCGAGCTGGCTGGCTGTCTCACGCAGCTCAAACTAACTTCACCTCAGCAGGTGTTTCCGTACCATCTGGCCTTTCGTCTGTTCCAGCTGGGGGTTTATGAGAACCCAACCAGCATCATGTCAAGTGAGCTGGGGGTTCTGGAGAGCCCAGCCAGCATCAAGCCACGTCAGCTGGGGGTTCTGGAGAGCCTGGCCAGCATCAACCCACATCAGTTGGTGGTTCAGGAGAACAGCTTTATCCAGGTGCTTTGTCTCAGCCACAGGACTCCATTCTGTCTAGTCCTAGTCCTGGTCCTGCCTCATCTGGTCCAGCGGTTGCCACGGCACCACCTCGACTATGTCTAGCTCGGCGTGGGCGGCCACCTTCCCGTCTTCTGGCTGGACTTTTTCACTGGTCCAGACAGCCTTCAGACCTGTGTCACCACCGCCGCCTTCCGCTCGGCCGGCTTCCGCTCGGCCGGCTTCCAGACCTGCTCTGTCGCCGCCACTGCCTTTCATGTGGTCAACCTCTCTCCTGTGTCCAGGCCACTTCTGCTTTCCACGCAGTCGGCCCTGGAACGTCTGGACTTTGGAGTTCTGTGCTGCCGTCCCCCGGGATGACCACCTGAACTACTGAATTATGGATTTTGTGCTTTTGGTCTCCAGAGTTATGTTTTTGGACTCTTGTACTCCTGTCCTGTATTTATCCTACAGTGTTCAGAGTCGTATCGTCCCTCATTGCTGTGTGTTACTCTCCCAGTGCTTCCTCCTGAACTTAGATCTCCCAGTATAGTTTTGTTTTGTATGCTTTTCCCCTGCCAGCAAATAAAGCTGTGTTATTGTTTTTTTAGTTTAAGTCACTGCCTCTGTTAGTCCTGTGTTTGGGTCCTTTCCTGCTTGCCTTCACACAGCACATTCCCCATGACAGACGGCAGCATTGGGAGCAAAAATAAGTGGGATCACCAGGAGAAATACTATTTACAAGTGCTCTTTGTATGCAGATGACCTCCTTTTGTACATTACAGACCATCAAAGGCATCAAATCCTTCAGCTCTGGACCTCATTGGATCCTTTGGCCGTCTGTCTGGTTAAAGATTAACCCTAGCTAAAAGTACACTGTTTCCTATTAACCGTCTGGCAAAGGAGGCTGATTACTCAACCTTTCATTTTACATTGAAATACTCCTTATTCACCTTTTTAAACAAAATTTTACCCCTATATTAGAGAAAACAAAATCAGATTTGGCACGCTGGTCAGTATCACCCATCTCTTTTGCTCCGCGGGTCAGCAATATTAAAATGTTAGTCCTGCCTCGATTCATGTATCTCTTCCAGATGATAACCCTTTTTCTTCCTAAAACCTTTTTCAACCATTTAGATGGACTCATATCATCTTTCATTTAAGACAAAAAAGTTCCAAGAATCCGTAAACCCCTTTTACAGTGTGCTAAGTCGGAAGGGGGCTTGGCCCTACCAAACGTTATGTATTATTATTGGTCTGCCAATATTGTGAAATTATCCACCTGGATGTGGGCTTTTAG